CACTTCTGCCTGTGAGGTCACCTCCCTTTCCCCATCCACGCCTTTACTCCGCTGTTCCATCTGACTGGAATGCCATCCCCCACCACACACACACACCTGTGGGAATGCTGATCATCCTTCAGAGCCCAGCTCCTGTCTCCTCTTCTGGGAAGTCTTCCCTCATCCCCCGGCCCCTGGCCAGGGTTCTGACTTCCTCTTGCCCCTGAAGGAAAGATGTTTAAAAGCTGGGGGCAGAACCTGTGCCCACCCCCCACCCTCCTCACTCCCCCATCCCCCCCACCCAGAGCCCTGCTCGTGAGTCCCAGAGAGTGGGAAGGGCTCTTGGAGATCCTCTAGTCAAACATCTTCATTTTCCAGATGAGGGCACCCGCCATTCCACAAGGACAGAGGATGGCCTTGGCTGCCTGGCCAGCGGCACTGGACAGACTGGCCTCTCCCTCCCCACCTCGATAGGCTCTCCTTCCTCACTGGCCTGAAGACACCCCCTCCCCTGGTTTTCCTCCTACCTCGCTGGCTGCTGCTTCTTGGTCACCTTTGCTCGTGCCTCCTCTTCACTCCTGCCTTCTCATCTCAGTGTCCCCAGGCTCAGTCCTTTGTCCTCTGCCTGTCTGCTCTCACTCCCACTGATCACGTCCAGTTCAGGTCTTTAAATACCAGCTCTCTGCTGATAACTCCCAAATGTGCATCTAAGGCCCCCAAGTCTCTTCCTGAATGCCAGGCTCAGGATTCTTCTATTTACCTGCCTTCTTAGCATCTCCACTCACACCTCTGGGAGACATCTCAAACCTAACCCGGCCAGAAGTCTCCCACCTGCTCCGCCCTCAGTCTTCCCTGCCTCAGTTAAGGACAGCTCTATCTTCCGTTGTTCAAGCCCAAATCCTTGGGTCCTCCTGGGACCTGACCACTGCCCATCCCCTCCACTGCTGCCACCTGGGCCAGACTACCGTTATCTCTCACCTGGATTACCGCACCAGCCTCCTAACCTAACCGTGCTTCTGTCCTTGCCTTCTGCAGCCTCTTCTCTGCACAGCAGCCTGAGTTAACTGTCATTGACTGTTGACTGTGGGTCCCATCACATCCCTTCTCTGCTCAAAACTCTCCAATGGCTCCCATCTCACTCAGAGTAAAAGCCAAAGTCCCCACAACACCCTACATGACCCGTGCCTCCTTCACTCACCTTGCTTATCTTTCTTAAACTTATCTCCCCCTACTGTCCTCCTTGATTCAGCAGACTTGTAGACTCCTGCCTCAGGACCTTTGCACTTGCTGTTCCTTCTGCTTGGACGATTCTTCCTCCAAGAATAAGAATGGCCCCCTCCCTTGCCTCCTTCGAATCTTTGCTCACATGTCAGCTTCTTAAAGAGGCCCTCTCTGACCACCCTACGTAAAATTGCAAACCAGCTCCTCTCAGCACTGCCTATTACCTCCCCCTCACCCTGCTCAATTTTGTCTTTGCAATTATGGCTTTCCAACATACTATATAATTGACTTTATTTAGTCTATTGCTTATCTGACTTCTCCACTAGAATGTCAGCTCCACAGGGCAGGGATCTCTCCTCTCTTGTTCACAGCCACATCCCAGCGCCTATCCCAGTACCCAGCACATATCAAGTGAACACCTTAGCATTCCAAAGCCCAGAATGAGTACATGTCTTGCAAGGTCTGACGAGACCACAGGCAGTGCAGTAGGAGAGTCATCAGCTTGGGTGTCTGTCATCCGGTCACCCTCCTTCAGCCTGAGCCACCTCGGACAAGGCATTTAGCCTCTCCAGACCTCCTGTCTGAAAAATGCAGATGCTGTGTGTCAAGAGCTCATAACTGCTGGCACATGCACACTCCAGCGTCTCAGTGCAAACATGACCCCCGGCATTCTCATGCCATTTACACTTTCCATGCAGGATTTCACTTCGCGCTCACACCGACCCCAGAGGTAGGGAGAGCCCCTTTTGACAGGTGAAAAAACAGCGAGGCGGCCCGGGCTCCTCACCGCGCGGCTGGCCCGACGATGTCTGGCCCCCTCCCCACGCCCGGGGGCCGGCGGCTCCGCGGCTAGCGAGGGTCCCGGGCCGGCGCAGCGCGGGGCTGGGCGCCAGGGGACTACATTTCCCAGGAGGAGTTGCCCGCAGCGCTGCGGTTCCCGGGTTTTTAAAGAGCTGGCGTTAAAGGGGGCGGGGGGAGTTCTGCCGTCTGCCGGCGGGAAACTGCTCTGCGCTCGGTGGGGGGCGGGGAGGGGTACCCGAGAGCCGCCTGCGGGGGTGCCCCGGCGGGCTCCGGCCGGAGTCAAGAAGTCCCCAGGCCCTGCAGTGTCGGCGAGGCGATGTGAGGCCAAACCAATCTGGAGGCCGCCCTTCTTCATCGTGCCCCCTCGGCCTCGGGCTCAGCCCCCAACTCCCGGGAACCCCTCCCGGCCCCCTCCCCTCCCCTCCCATTCTCCCTAGCAGGGGGAGGGGCGGTGAAGCTCGCCGCCAGGAGGGAGCAGGGCTGGCCGCCGGCGGGAAGCCCCCCGCGACCCTGAGGCGACCCCTCCCTCCATTTCTGGCTTCAGTTCCAGGAGAGAATTTACGGGTTGCTGGGATTAGGGGGATACGGGATGTGACAGCTACAAAATTAAGTGAAGGCCTGAGGGCACTGGGAGCTGAGCCTCACAGTGCGCCCCCATATCCATCCTTCCGAATGAGGTGATGGGGGGAGTGATCACGTTACCTGCCTCCCCAGGGCGGAGGCGCAAAGGATCGAGAAACGCCGGTGGAGAGCACTTTGCAAACTGTAACACGCTGTGTAAATAAAAATTATTTCATCATCGTGCCATTGGATTCATCCAGTCCTTATTCTAAGACACGCACGGACCTGGGGAGATGACATGTCTGGGGGGGAGGGGACGACGACAATATCTTGGACCTGGGGGTCCAAATAATGCCTATTTCCCCTTCCAGATCTTAGTAGGAACCAGAAGAAATGTCTTTGAAAATAACCAAAACAAGCCCACCAGAATGTTGTGTTTTCAAATCAGGAAACTTCGGGGTAACTGACATCATCCAAATAAGAACCTTGACCTTTTGAACTAACCTGGCCCTTCAGCTGTTTCTCTTCCCCGCCTGTGCCACCAAGATAAGCCCAGGGAGAAGGCATCCGATATGGACACGGAGTCTCAGGCCTTCCCCTCCCCCCTCCCAATCATTTGGATTAATCCATCCCTTGGTGTAGGGGGGAAACCCATTAATTTCCCTGGCCTCAGAGACTTTCAAGTCCAGTAGGAGCCCTTCCCCCCACACCCCCTACCTGTGACCGGTCCCCCCACCTAAACCCTCCAACCCTTCCCCCCTCCCCTCCCCAACAGCCAGTGTTTGCAAACAGCTCCCGGACCCTACCAGAGACGCCGTTCATCATTTTGACCAGCTATAAACCCCCACTCCTCGGGTATTGTTTAATTGAAGAGTGACGGGCCTCTTTGCTTAGGGAATATAGCAGGTTTGTTGTGGGAGGGGGCTCAGGGAGCCAGCATCCCGGAATCTGGGGCCCGTGCCAAGTGGGACCTTGCACGTGAGTAGGATGTCTATCGCAGACAGGGGTCCCAGGAACTCTGGAGTCCCTTCCGCTGGCCTCTGGGCCCCTAAAGGCCCTCAGAGCCCCCCACACTCCATACAGACGGTGGCGCCCCTTGTTTGCCTGGTCTGTACCTGCCTGGCAGCACGGGAGAAGATGTGTACATTTTAACAAAGACATCGCTTCCTCCCAGCAAAATGGCGGTGGTCCTGGCCACGGCTCCCTGAACAACTACACACTTGCCGAGGATTAGTCAGGACCCAAGGAACACTACCCCCTACTCGAGCTCCCCCCCAGAGCCCGGTTTTCCCAAGTTCCCAAAGCACTCAGGGCCTCTCCTCATCCCAGGGGCCCCTACAGTCTCTCGTTAAAGCCTTTAGGGCAGCTCCTCCATTGTGGACCACCGCCCGCTCCCCCCCTCCCACTGCTTTCAAGGGGCTTTGGGAGGGGGACTGGACCCCCAAGATGGGCCTCAGGGGTGGGGGCAGCGAGCTCTGCCTTTGACACCCCAACACTCCTAGGCTGACGGAGGGATAGAAATGAATTCCTGGTTAGGCTATATGGGAGATGTGAGGGTCTTTGAGGAGAGGAGGCGACTCGAGGGACCCCGCCTCATTCCCTCAGGGCACCCAGGCAGCATTGGGGGCTTGGCCTCAGGAGAGACTCTGGATGCAGAGGTCAGGGGGCGCGCTGGGGGAGACACGACAGAGGAGGGGGAAGGGACAAAGTTTGAAAGTGCCCTTCCAACTCTTCCAGGGAAAGTTTGCTGGGGGGGCCCCATGGACAGAGAGGGGGTAGAGATGCGGGGGGCCGGGTGGCGGGATGACCCCCGAGAGGTGACCGGACCCCGGGGGAGCGACCCCTCCCCCTGTCCCGGCTCGGCCCGGCTGGGAGTCGCCCGGCTCGGGGCGGCGTGTGTTAGTTGGAGCCGCTTTCCGGCCGCTCCGCCGGGCTGGGGGGCCCCGGCGCGGGCCGGGAGCCGGCTCCCCGGTAGCCCCAGGGGGCAGCTTTACTACGGGGGGTTTCCCGCACCGGGACTCCCCGGCCCCGCAGAGCCAGCCCCCCGCAAAGGGGAAATGTGCCGGCGCCCCGGCGGTCCTCGGCGC